GTTTTCCTGGATACCGGCAGGGAAAGAAAGGGAGGAGAGAATGAGAAAACCTGAATGCACCCAATCTGTGAAAAGATGTGGGAATAATTCTCTGTCAATAGCTCAGCTCATGGACACGGATGTGTTCCCATCCATGGCTGTGTTTCCATCAGGAGTGATGGCATCAGATAGGAAAGAATTGTGGGAACAACTGAGCTTTAATGAATCTCCTCTTCAGGAAAATGGAATTTTCCAAGCGCATTGAGAACGTGGTCACTGCAGAGACAGAAAACGGATTTTCCTTGAAATTCTGCCTTTGTTCACTCAAGGGGACACAGCTCCCAGATGCCCAGGAAGGTCAGAAAGGAGCAGAGGGACAAAGTGGCTGAGGAATCGAGGTTCAGAGTGAGGAATTGTTGGGAGAGTCAGTTCCTGGGTCAGCAGGAACTTTTGAGGATGTGTCTACAGGAGAAGACATATCCTACAGAACACCAGCGGGCTCCACCTGCCCAGCTGAGCACTTTGCTGTCTAAAAAAGCCATCAGCTGGCTGATTTCTTGCCCAGATTCCTGAGCTAGATTGGGAGTGAGAACAGATGTGCTCCAGCAGTGGTGAGAGGAGCACAGAGCGCTCTCAGAACAGGACACACCACCAGGGACTGCAACGAGAGCATGGAATTCAAATAATCAAAGTGATTGAGAGATCATTTTCAGCAGCCCTCTGTGAACACTCAGCATTTCTCACAGCACTTGGAGAGCTCCATCTCCACAGGCTTTTCCCACGAGGGCTGCAAGGCAAATGTCATGAGAACATGGTTATAGATCTCTCTAAAGATGAACCACGAGAAACTAACAGGAAGAGGGGGGGAGAGAAATCCTAAAGACAAGTTCATTTATCTTCCCAGAGAAGGGAGGGGAAGGATTTCCAGACCCGTTTGTTCTGCATGAGGAAGGGTGTGCTACCAGCCTGTCAAGTAGAAAATCCTTTTTAAGTCTGTATTATTTTAGCCTCTGGACTCACAATAAAATGCCAGGGATGTTAGAAGGAATTTGAAAACTGTAGTTGTTAAAATATTAACTAACCCTGCCCCGACTATCAAATAAATCTAATAAAAGTGGCAGCTGAATGTCTCAGCTCCCACAAAGTTAAATGAAAAGAACTATTTGGCACAAAAGAATATTTTATCTTAAAATTTGGAGATAAAATTAAAGGGACAGTGACCTCCAAATACTTCCCAGGCATATCCCCCTTGGAACACAGCTTAGATTCAAAGCCCTGAGAAACACAAGTGAGTGTTTGCTTTGGATTTTGGAGCTTTTTGTTTGTTTCAATTAGGTTTATCTCAACAAGAAATGTATCTTGCCAAATTTGATTAACAACACAGAGAAAAGCAAACAAGGAAAGGTGTTTCCCCCTGCAGAGCTCCTCAGAAAGAAAACATTTCCATGAAGAGCTTAGCTTGAACACTATTGTACACTTTGAAATGTTTTATGGCTTCTAAATGGCTTAAAAATGCAACAGAATGAAAAAACAAATCTTGTTTTGGTGATATTTTCCCTGTTTTGGTGGCCACAATGAGGCCCCCAGTGTTCTGCACCAAAACCAAAGCCAAATGTGAGCTCCACACAGACTTTTAGGATTTTTGACTATTTCCTCTTGTCCACTTAAACACCACCAGCAGCTCATCGTGCTGTTACCCAGGCCCCAGTGCCACGTTCCCAGAGCAATATTTACTCTTCAGTGATTTCTCCTGTGGAGTTTCAGGGCAGAGTGGTTGACACAAGACAATTGCTGGGCTTTTGATTGAACAAGCTGCAGAAATAATGAGGGAACACCCTTCACACACAGGGTAATTATCTCAGAAAAATCCTAACAACGAAGGCAGGTTTCTACCAGTCCATTAGGAACAAATGGAGATGGCAAAATAAAAAAAGAGAGGAAAAGAACTGGAACTTCTGGCAGACAAAGGGGTCATCAATACAGCAGGACTGGCCTCGGGGGGTTGGGAATCCACTGCTGCAAGCGCGGAAAACGCGGCAGAAGCAAATGTTTGATTTGCATTTATTCCGCTTTCCAGCCCAGCCACTTCCCGAGCCGCAGATGAACATTTATTTTCCAAATCTCCAGCACTCAGCATGCACTTCATCAGAGGAGGCCATCACATCATTATGCTGCTTAACAGAATGTACCAGCACAAGGCAGTGACCTGACAAACAGCGGCTCCCCGCCGCACGGAGCGCGCGTTCCGTCTCCATTTGGGGTCTGGGGGGGGCTGAGATCCATGTGCCTGAATTTCCAGCTCATTTCCAACCAAAAACTGGGACAATGCATGGCAATGCCCAAATTGTTCCGTGCGAGCTGTACACAGCCCATTTGTTGATGCTGGAAGGACTTGTTCATCATTTGGACTCATTTTCAGGATGAATTTCCTGTAACGTTTGAACAGTAGGAAACTCTTTATTGGGCATCATTAACAGGAAAAAAATAAAAAGAAAGCCTCAACAACTAGTGTATGTAGGCCAACATAACTTCACTTTTAGCTGACAGCTCCTCAAAAAGGAATATTTCCAAGTGGCAAAGTATTAGAGTGAACCACAGATGAAAGGTTAATGGTCTGGACTCTGATCAGCATCTTTTTAATAATGTCACAATTTTTAAGCCCAAGACAACCAGTGACACAATGGCTGACAGGAAATAATTCCTTTCCCATTTACTGTTTTTCTTTTCCCAAATCTCAGTACCTGGCCAGGATGTTTTTTTTCAGGCTGCTACTATTCCTGTGAATACCCTCATCAGCAAAGCAACAGTTCTTAGATTGAATAGTTCTGCTTTTTTAGATTATTTTTTTCAGATTTCATTCTCAATGCATGTATGAAACTAAGTAACAAAAAAAAAAAAAAGAAAAAAGAAAAAAGAAAAGAAAAAGTGTATTTTTCCCCACAATTAGTCCTATGTCGCAGTAGTGGTCATTAATGCCATCAGGCACTTTTTGCAAGGATGATGAAGTTGGGTTCGCTGCCCTAATCAGATTCTAAAATAAGTAATTGCATTTTCTCCCCTTATTACCACTCGTGCTTCCAATGAGGTGGATTATTTTTCCCTTGGAAGCCGAGGAGGCTTTTCCTGTTGCACCACAGTTAAACACTGGCAGTGTTACCCTGGGGGGCTGCAAGGAGCTGATCCCCCCAGCTCAGCTTTGTCAACACCACTGGGGGCTGGGATGGGGCTGCCCATAGAACGTGGAGCTTCCCAATGAGCAGCAGCTTCCCCCACTTTGTTTGTGCTCCTGGGGCTGAGATTTGGATCATTTGGTGCCCAGCTGGAGAAAGAATTGTTTTGTCTCCCTGCTCTGTGCAGAGAGCTCAGCATCCCCTGATGTGAAGCTCAGACCCACACACTAAAGGAGCACAGAATGTGAAAAACATAAAAGCTCAAAGCTTTTACGAAGCTGAGGCATCATCGCCAGGAGTGGGCAGTGCTGTGGGGTCGGTGTGCTGGCTGGGAAGGGTCCCAGTGGGACAAAGTCCCTGGGCAGCTCTGCCAGCTGCTCAGCCACGAGCCCAGCAGGCTCTGCTCCTGTAATTCCCATCCAGCTGATGAGGCCAGACAGACCTCAGAGCAGGATTGCAAATTCCTTTAAAAGGGCCGCAGATCTGTGGAAGACGTTGTGTTGTTTTGACGGAGCGAGCAGCTCCCGATGGAGCAGCCAGCTGCAGTGGCTGGTGTGGGTCCTGGTGGGGAGGGACACACACTGGGCTTGTCAGGCACACCAAGAATTCCAGCAGGGATTCTCACAGAACCACTCCCTCTCCAGTTTTTAAACAGAGCAGGGCAACGCACATGCTCAGGAAGCCACAAACTGGCACAATTAAAATGAGTTTGTGCTAAACTGAAAGAATTGTTGGCTATTTTCTAAACATTCATACCGCCCTCTTTGAAGCAAACAGCACCCTGTGACATCTGGACACATCCTGAGTACCCTGGACACAAAAAAATAGTGCCAGTGGTGTTTGAAAAAGAGAAGATAATAAAAAGATGATGCACAAAAGTGGCTCTGCCAGAAAGCTTCAACTTTTTATCAGGAGACACACCCAGGCAACGAACCAGAAAGGCTGCACAAGGTCTTGGCCACACCTTCAGAATATGAACACATTGCTTTAGTTTCCATCAGTTCATCTCTGAAGTTTATGCTCATATTACTAAAGTTCTCTTTCTCTGCATTTGTCCTCCACTGGAGCTTCCCCAGTCACCAGGACCCTCTCAGCCAGGGTTGTGGTCCTGCCACAGCCCTATCCTCGCAGGTGACTGCTTCAAACTTCCTGAAAATCCTAAGAATTCTCTTCCCTGAGAAGGGAAACCCCACTGTGGGAATCCAGAGCTTCCCTCTGGCTGCCCTGGCTGGTCTGGGACCCTGGCAGGGGTCAGGAACCCCCCTGGACAGAGCCCCCAGAGACACTGGCTGTGATCTCTGTCCATGGAAAAGAGTTTTCAATCTTACAGGGTGAATTACCAGCTCTGAGTGTTTGATATGAGTAATAATTAAGTGTGGCACGGGTGCAAAAGTAAAATTTTAGGATTCTAGATGAGGGGTCCAAAGGGGACAAGATGGAGGAAATTGGGTGTGCCTTGTCCTTTTTCTCCTTCTTCATGCCCTCCATGTTTCACTGTGATGTTGGCATTTTTCTGTTGGTTCAGGCTGGGGACACACTGTCCAACGTAGGTGACAGATATTGGCACGTTATTGTAAATCCAGCACAGGTAGTTTGTGGTATTTAATGTTTGTACCATCCCACTGAGGGCAGAGCCCCACACGCTGCCCTGCAGGACAGAGCTGCGGCAGGGCAGCAGAACATGTTAGAGATAAACAGAATAAACAGCCTTGAAACCAGCACAGACCAATTATGGCTTCTGCTTTGGCAGAGGGGCAGAAAGACAGAGACTTTCTACAATCTCAGAATCATCAATACCTCAGATTCTGACACCCCACAGGCACTGAAATCAAGAGAAGAAAAGCTCTTTACCTCCGGAGTGGGGTGGGGGCCCACAGAGCAGCACCATGCCCTGGCCCTGGCGGACGGACACCGTGCTCCTCGTCCTGGTCTTGAAGTTCTCAAGGTCTGCCAGGAGAGAAAGAACTCGGTTAAAGGCTGATCACAAAAGGAAAATGATGAAATAAGGCAAATATCAGCTTGAAGGGTGGGCTGGTGGGATCTGTGAGGCAGCAGGAGGCTGAGGAGCATCAACAAAAGGATCAGGAAATGCCTTCCCCAGGCTGGAAAGGGGGAGAAGGTGCTGCTTCACCCACAGAGGCTGACACGGCTGGAGAAAAACCCAGCACCTGTAACACTTGTTGTATGAATTTAGGAAGAGTTACTGCCTTAGATAAGCAATTCCAGGCTGTTTCCCTCACTGCTCCTGCCCTCCCATCCCATGTGTGGAGACCCTTCCTTCCCCACATGGGAGCCTCTTGCACCAGCTGCATGTTAAGCCAGAGTGCTTTAATTAAATTAAATTCAATTCCTCCTTCCACCTCTCTCTTTTTTCCTCTCCTCAGGGCCTGTGCACTGCAAAAATACAACTCCCCCTGCTCTCCTTGCACACGGAATTCAGGAGATTTTCAGTGAAGTGAGGAGGTGACTCTGAGCTGAGCAGTGGCACCAGGATTGTCACCAGCAGCTGCTTCGTGGGAGCACCAAGACATGGAATCACTTTGGCAGCCTCTGATCTTTAACAATTCCCTGCATTTCAATTTTCATGTTTTTCCCTTGTTCCCAGTGTAGCTGAGCCTTGGCTTGGCAATCACAAACCTGTTGTCAGTGCAGTTGGGCACCAGAGAAAACACAGAGGTGATAAATATTTATCAGCAGGAACTGGTAGGAACATCATTATGAGGTTACAAGGATGGAAAACTGAGCCTTGATTTTTATCCTCTCTTAAAAATGTTTTCTGCACACATACTTAAAAAAAATTTAAATAAATAAAATCCGAAGTTGTCACTGCTTCATTTCCTTTTTAGGAAGAAACCACTATGGGCTTTTTCTCTCTTTTCTGATTTGGGACAAAATGAAAACAGAAAAAAAAAATCAATTAGAGAGATACAATTTTTCATTCCTAAATTCTATAAAATTTGCATTTTTTTTTTTAATTGTACAGGAGCCACTGTAACATTCTTCTGGCCACCAGCCAGTGCACAGATTTTTATATATTTTGACTGCACACGGACACAAGGCTGGATCCCATCCTCTCTTGAGGACAGCTGCAGGAGGAGTAACAGCCTAAAGCCCAAATAATGCCTGCAGGAATAAATGTGCTATTTTTTACATCAATATTGACAAGGAAAGGATTGCTACCAGGAAAAGCAGACTCTGCTTGGATGAATATCTAGGAAATGCTGCAAGGATGGTCAAAATCAGCAAATAAGGCAGAGTATTCATCACTATTGCTTGCACTGCAAACCATCAGGCTCTGCAAAGCCTCATGCAAGCGCTTCAAATCCGGCTCTGAGTAAAATAACAAGACTGAGATAATTATAAGAAAGGCCTCATCAAAGCCATCAGGCTTGATTGCGCTTTCTGAAGGCCACAGATTTATTTTTGCAACACCTAAATTGGAATGAACAATGATATAATGAAGATTTTATTAGTGAGGAGCTTCATTTAGGATCCACCTTGCAATCTTGGAATTGCAGAGCGGAGGGTTCAGCCTCATGGTGACAACACCATTGAGTTCCACCTCACTTTGTCCTCAAACCTAAAAACCCTGGGCAGCAGAGGAGGATTTTTGTTCTTATTTGCCCATAAAAAACCCAAACCCAACACACAAACCCACCATATTAAAAGGAAAAACTGAGGAAGAAAATATTAACACTTGCAATTCAGGAGATCAGTGTGCTGCCAACAATTCTCACAATACCAACCAAGGACTCTACCAAGCACAGAAAAATATTGTGTGAGCTCCAGTAGCCCCAGCATTAGAGAAGGATTAATTAGCAATTAGTAATGATTTCAAGAGGAGAACACAACAGCAGGGTGTAATAGGATTGCAGACAGGTTATTGTAACAGCTACTCACACCTCATTTAATGAGTGAGTTAAGGTGCCTTTTAAACACTTTCTGGACAGTATCAATTCTAAATCAAGCTGCACAGACCCACAGAAAGTTGCATGCATTATTTAATTTCAGCTGGATGTATTTAAAAGCAGCTGCATGACTTTGGGAAAGTCACTTCAGCTCTCGGTGACAAAGTTTGCACATCTCTGAGGACAAGTCCTTCAGCTGTGTCTCTCAGAAGAGGTTTAATTAGCTAATATTTGCACAGAGCCTTGACATCTGCTTCTGAAATGCACTGGAGTGCAATGCACACACCAACACCCAGCCCTTAATGGGGACTTGAATGGCTTTGCTGGCATAATGAGATTTTTCTGTAAAACTCTGCCTTAATGTTCAGTGCCACAACATGGGCAGGTACTGGGAAGTGATGCCACAGATCCCAGACCCCCCAAAAATGCTCCAAAGCCCAGCAGCAGCTGTCAGCCCACCAGCTCCTCACTTTGGGCAGGGGTTTATTGTGTGGAATGACCTGTTTTGGGGTTTAATAAAAGCTTAAGGAATCTGAAATGATCCACAGCCCCTCCAGACTGGGTCGTTTGTCTCAATAAATGGCATTTGGAAACTTTAATCAAACCCATATGGCTTTGAACACTAACAATTACCCAAGTTGTCCAGAGTAATGCAAGATTTCCCCAGATTTTGCCTTTATAGCAAAGAAGATTCAATTCTAAGCAAAACAAAAGGAACTGCAGCCTTTTCTTCTCCCTTCTTAGGACCTGCTTGGTTTTGGGCTTTATGAAATGTGGTAATTCTTTTTCTAAGTGACTCCTAGGCAAAGGTTTAAAGAAATATTCCCTGGATGGCACCGAAGGATGGGCAAACAAAGTCACATCAGCTGCTGCAGATGGGGTCAGTGTGAAATTTGGCCTCAGATTTCTGTATTTACATCCCTCATCATTTCCAGCACCACTGATGGTCCCTGTGGTGGGATTCTACCCCAGCAGAGCCCCTCTGCTCCACTTAGTGGCTGCAGCAACAGCAAAAATGATGGGAATAACAGAAATAAATAATGGGAATAACAGAAATGATGGGAATAACAGAAATAAATTATGGGAATAACAGAAAATATGGCAATAACAGAATTCCTGAACTCAGCATGCCCCGGGAACCCGACTGGAACACCAAGACTTCCCTCAGGAGCCTGCCAGTCTCAGTGCACTGGGGATGTGACAGAGATCCCTATTTTTGTGAAAGCTGAGCTCTGTTTTGCTGGCTTTCTTTGCCCGAGGAGCCTTCCCATGTTTTGCTTTGATTTTTTTCCACACGTGCCTATTTTTAGAACACAAAATGCTTCGTAATTACACCAGTGCTGCAATTAGGAGAGACCCCTCTGTGCAAGAGCTATTAAAAACCACCCAAAAAATATTATAGAAAATGAGATGAAGAGTCAGTGATGCAGATTGGCGGTGGCAGGTGTCTGCATGTCCTTTGGAAAGCCAATTTCTGTGACTGTGTCGTGTGGGAGGCAGCTCTGCTGTGCAGTGCCTTGAATGACACGCTGTCAAAACCTCACCATTAGTGAGCCCTTTGTCATTACAGTTCAGGGATTCTTATCCTAATGATTAGAAAAGCAGTGACAGTGCTATTTTCACCTATTATTCCTGTTTAACTGGTATGAAACAAAATGTGTGTACAAAAATGTACACACATCAGTCACTGCTTTATACATCAGTGGGTTTTAATTGCCAAAGAAAAGCACGGCTAATAGGCTCAGAAAAACAAAAATGTCAGTGGGTTTTACTTAAAAGTCTTTGTCTAGAGAGTTTTGCGAAGCAAATTTGATAACACATCGTTGATATCACTCAGCTGAGTTGGTGTTATCAGCAGGGAGCCCACAGAGCTGCATTCCTCAGGATCAATATTCCTATAAAATGAGATATCCAAGGGGCCTGGACAGGGGGAACCCAGAGTTTGTGCCCAGCAGCAGCGCAGGGAGGGAGGAGGGTGGGTGATACCCACACATCTGTGCAAAGCCATATGGCTTTGATTAAAATTTCCAAATGTCATTTACTGAGACAAACTACCCAGTCTTGGGGGGCTGGGGGTCATTTCAAACTGCTTAAGCTTTTATTAAACCCCAAAACAGGTCATTCCACACAATAATCCCCTGCCCAAAGTGAGGAGCTGGTGGGCTGACAGCTGCTGCTGGCACCTGCAGGGCTTTGGAGCAATTTTTGGGGGATCTGGGATCTGTGGCATCACTTCCCAGTACCTGCCCATGTTGTGGCACTGAACATTAAGGCAGAGTTTTACATAAAAATCTGGGAATTGCTGTGAATTAGCACTGCCTTAGTGCCATTCCCACTGTACTAAAGATAAATTTTGGGCATTCCTACTTCGCTTAGATGAGCAACAAATCCTTGGATCAGCACTTCAGGAGTTCTTTTAGCAAGTCTGTATTTTATAGGGGGTTTGATTGGTATTTAACCCTAATACTTGGTTGTACTTTGAGCACAGGAAAACAGAATGCTTAAAAATGAATGATAATTTAGGAACTGATAAATTAGAAAGCTAACACACATTCACTGGCAATTTTGAGTATTCTGGAGTGAACAAAATACCACCTTTACCAATATTAAATGAACTTTAAAGCAACCACACAACAGGAAATAATGATATAGGTAAGGAGTAATTACCTTTCTTATATGTAAAATGCCCAATCCCCCTTGGGTACCCAGCCACAGCCAAGACACCCAAAGCCAATTTTTAAGCATGACTTAAAGAGATTTACAGATCATAATGGACTTTGCCTTCTCAAACCCCTTCTATAATTTTAAAATAATCCCAGCAATCTAAAATTTAGGGTGATGTTTAAGGTCATATGCAGTCCTTGCACTGAAGACTATGAGATTATTGCCTTTATTAAAGAGCACACCACTCATCCCAGGGGAATCTGATTAGGCTGGCAATGATATCGCCCACAAAAAAATCTGATGGAAGGATTGGTCAAATCCTCCTGGTTTGGACCATGTAAAGAACCTCCTCCTCCTCCTCAGGGGTATTTGGAG